TAGGATTTTTTGGAATTTTTTTTTTTAGAAGCATTTGGCAAGAAGCTTTAGACAAATACCCACCAGCCCTAGCTAGCAATGCCAATGGTGAAGGACTGTGGAAACTATACTCCAAAACCCCATATTGTATATCTCTCTTTTAGTTATTTTTTCAATGAATAAATGTATTGGCAGAGGTAGAATACAATATTCCACTTTCCCAAGGATTATAGTGTCAGAAATGGATACAGAATATGCACACCTCCCTCTTTAAATTGCATGACATAATCATACAAATTGGCCCCCAAAGCAAAGCAACTTGCATTACTATATACTCTGCCAAGGCAAGTGAAAACAGGAAAACACTACAGTCCAACTTTTACATATAAAACAGAAGTGTTGCCAGGAAAAGGGCGGGGGGGGGGTAGAGAAAGAGAGAGAAAGAATGGCACCTACTTTCTGAACAAATTTAGTTCACAGCTGCTTTTGTACAAAGATGCTGTCAAGCCTGCTATTTTTACTAACTCACCCATAAAAATTGCTAGGTACATTCCCACCCACAGTCTTGCTACCAGTAGCAAAAAAAAAAAAAAGGGAAAAGGGAAAAGAAAGTAGAACTGTAAATATCTAAATGTTTGCCTTTTAGCAACAGGTGTGGAATACACATTAGCCTAAAATACTAAGCAGTTAAAATGATGCACAAGCCATGAAAGGAAATCAGTAGACAGAGCTAGAATAATCGTTCCTCAGAAGAGTTCCCTCTTCAACACATACGTATGTCTTGTTAAGGAGGGACTACAGACAGAAAACTATCAGAGACCATACCTCCAAATGAGACAAGGCCAGGACTGAACAAAACACAGAACTGATATCTACTGATTAAAATTAATTTCCTGTAACACATGGTGTCCCATTTATAAAATTAACTGATCCCCATTGGCACCACGCTGATCCTTCAGTCTCTTATTAACATACCCGCGTACATATTCGTCTCCCTCCTTCCAGTAGAGTTAGCCAAAATGAGAGAAGAAAAACAAGGCAGAGATGGGGTTAAGAAAAGAGGGAGCTGCAATGAGAAAGGCAGAAAAAAGTGGGGGAGACCAAGTCTGGATGGGGATGAGGCAGGGTGAGGAACAGGTGAGAGAAAGGGAAAAAGAAGACCAGTTTAGGGTTATGAAAAGGGATCTGTTCATCCGACAAGCATCATTGGCAAAGCAGACTAACGTTAAAGGTTGTACTTTCTGGTAGCCCTTTTTGCATTTATCTGCATGTCTCGCCTATGCTTTCATCTTCTTCTACTCTTCTCAGGGAATAGTACATGGAAAAACACTACAATCAACTCACAAGAAACCAGCATCCTATAAGAACTAGATTTCCAGCTGAACGTTTAAGGTCAGCATCCATTTAAAAACAAAATGGTCAGATCATGGATTAAGAGCACCAGAGTTGGATGTTAGAATGTTCCGTTTAATTCATGTTGAGGCTTTATCATCTGAATTGAAATTAAAAAAAAAAAAACCTGTACCGTTCTTAAAAAGCAGCAGGTGATACGAAACAGCACAGAGCAGAAAATCCAAAGACAATTTGTATTTATTTATTTATTTGTATGTATGTATGTATGTATGTCAAAGTTGGTCACGACCCATCTCACTAGGAAGTGACTCTGGGCAGTTTACAAAAAAACAATCACTAAAGCTGCTTCCGTATTAATTGCTTCTTGGCTGTTCCTACTGCAGACAGGCTGAACCTAAAACATACTAGTATCCCTAATCGAGAAGTGACAAATTAAGCATCTTTGGCTACTCCCTTACCAAAATTAAAGATTCTTCACTGACTTATCAAAGCAGGTATCTACAGATCTACATTAGGCACACCAAAGGGTTGGCATTTATTAAATGATCTTCTTGCAGTTTTAATTCCCTTTGAACAACAGTCGCCTATGTCATTATCACTGACTGAAATGGCTCTCAATATACCACACTGCTTTGGGGAAGCAGGTGTGTAAAAACACAGTTCTACAATCCCTGAAAAGATGGAACGAGGTCTTTGGTCCTTCTGACCCACATTTATAGCTGTAGCTGCTTTCCTCTGATAACTATGGGGGTAGTGGGGGGTGTTAATGTGAGTAATAGGGTATTCACAGAAAGTTATCCAATGAGTTTAGAAACTGAGCAGGGATGTGAACCTGCATTTCCCACATCCAAGGAAAGAAGGACGGATACGGTACAGCGGATCCCCCACGCTGAATTTGCTCTAACGCACTAATGAAATTATATCACCCAACATTCTCTTGTGGAAGTCTCAACAGCAACATTAGGCTGGGTTTGTAATAACAGTAAATCCTGGGTGCGGGTTTGTCTCCAACCCTTACTAAGATGTGACTCCAGGGAAGAAAGAAGTGGGCATCTTCACTGGAACAAGAGGTCTACAGTCTGAGTTCCTGTAACTCTGTGAAACTGGAGAGCCACAGAGATGACCTTGGAGAAAGCATGAGAAAAAAGCCCAGACTGGCTCTACTCTAATTCACTGGGGTACAAGAGGGAGGGAACAGTTATGCTTTTAAGATTGATATCAGCCCTTCAAGGTAGGCCAGGTCAGAAAACAGACTCCACAAGTCTGGCTGGAATTATCCTTTACTGATGTAGACTACAGTAACAGAATCTTGAACCCCCCCCCCCCCAAACCAAGAATTCAGCCCCAGGACACCTCTAAAGGTTGTCACCTAATTGTAATAGAAGGTGACTTGTTAAATACATGGAGAACAATCCTACTAAATAATCAAATTACCCAAATTAAGATTTTTGTCCTGAGCCCACTGGCAAAAGGCTGCATGCCAAATGTAGCTATCAGTTAAAAAAGAAAGTTACACACCTCTGCTTTAAAAGAGAATCTATTCCTAATGCAATCAAATGCTGAGTCAATAGTCCAACATCCTGTTGCCAACACCCTGTTTCCAGGAAGCTCACAAACAGGAGACAAAAGGAAAGACACATTATTTTGCTTGTTATCCTGCAGCTGGTATTCAAAAGTCTTCTACCTCTAAACATGGAGATTGCATGTAACAACAGCCTCCACCCAGCTTTCCTTCCATCTGGCCCATCTCCCAGAATCTCCAAACGGCTGGGGGATCTGGGAAACGGAGTTCCAAGAATTTTGGATGGTGGCAGGTTGGAGAAGGCTGCCCTGTCCCCGTCTTCCACCAACTGACCTCATCTCTTTCTGGACCCCACTATGAAGACATTCGTTTATCAAATGAGCGCACTGAGAAGAGGAAGAGGAGAAGACGCCCCGGTTGCATGGAAACACAAGGCAAAATGAGTTACTGCAACTGAAACAACTCCTCCTCAACGCGTGGGGCTTCAGATATAATGGGTTTTTGTTCCTCCTTGTTAAGAAAGACTCATTCTAATATTTCCCTTCATAAACAAGGGAAATGTTCAGAGCTGTTTATTTACTTTCACAGACACACGAGGACGGTAAACTAGAATTCTATTCATTCATGATTTCTAAATGAGTCATTTGCCTACAAAGGCTGATATTCAGCATCACAGGTTTTTTCTTCTTTTCTCTCTTTTTTAAGATGGCTAATTATGTTGTTCTCATTTGTCTAAATCCAATGTGCAATTAATATGTTTGGCCAGAGGATGATGGCTGGATTGCTCAGCCACAAGACGGATCTGTTTCCCTTAGAAAATGAACTCATCACAGGTGCCCACTAGAGAAACAAACAACCATTTGCTCTCCCTAAAGACAGAGGTTATGTAGCCGCAGCTTCTTCGGGGGGGGGGGAACCAAAGCTCCCCTTCATTAAGAAAGCAAGCTTCTCCAATTTAGGACCCTTCAGATGACTTAAGGCCAGAATTCTCATCATCCTTGACCGCTGGCCATGCAAGCTGGGTTTGTAATAGTTTGTAAAAGCTCCAGAGGACATCACATTCTAAAACACCTCATTAAACTGTGGTGCAAAGCTTTAGGAAGTACTTGGGTAAACAAATGTGACTCTTTTATTCCATATGAGCCAGCACTCATGTCTGCATATATCCACGTCTACATGTACTAGAGAATAAATATCTGATTTTATTTAAATTATGTCCCATCTCAAGAAGAACCTGGAATGTTTTCAGGAGGTTCAAAAAACAAGAACAACATTCCAGTGGCTCTTCTAAATTTTAGGTAGCAGATGTTTCTGCTCCGTCAAAATTTATCACGTAGATTTTGGACACATCGCTTTCCAAAATAAGATGACCCCTTCCAAAACACAGCTGTAACTGCTGTAATAACAAAAACAAAACTCCTCCAACTTTTCTTTTTATTGGATCAGAGAATAAAGACTCCCTTTACCAAAACAAGGCTGTGGGTTTGGCTTTTTTTCTTTCTTTTTTAAAATTCTGCCCTATTTTAAAAGATTGCTATTCACTCTTAAGAGAGCCAGGTTGGTGTAGGAGTTAAGGCACCAGGCTAGAAACTATGAGGCGGTGAGTTCTAGTCCTGCCTTAGGCACGAAGCCATCTGGGTGGCCTTGGGCCAGTCCTTATCTCACAGCCCTAGGAAGAGGAAGGCCAGGGCAAACCACTTCCAAAAATGTAAAAATGTTGCCAAGAAAACTGCGGGAATAAGTCCAGGCAGTTGCCAGGAGTCAACGCTGACTTGAAGGCGCACACATACACATTCACTCTTAACCAAAAGATAATCTCAAAACATACCAGGGTAAATAAATAAAACATCTGAGATAAGAAGATGGAGAACTTGCAGGAAAGTACAAAATGTGCATCTATGAATGGAAGGTGCTAGGCACGGGCCTATGCATTAGAAGGTGCTAGGCACGGGCCTATGCATCCCCATGCTGGCTGGGGAATTCCGGGAGTTGAAGTCCACACATCTTAAAGTTGATGAGGTTGAGAAACCCTGCATTAGAAGGATACATTCAGGCAAGCATGCACCTCCTGGAACAAACAGGACGCAGAACTGCTCTACTGAACCTACTGTCAGTCACCCCAGGAAGTAAAACAAAGTGGTCTCACCCATCCCTGAGTCTTTTTTGGTGCCATCCGAAATGATATCCACGTGATCGCTGTCTACATCATAACTGAAGAAATCATTCAAGTACGTTTTTGATCTTTGTCCACCAAACACATACAGGCAACGATTTTTCTAAAAGGGAAGGAAAAAAAGATGCACTGAGTCGTTAATTGCAAGACGTTTCTAAGTATGGTCTAGAATAGGCAGGCTGCATAAAGGGCTTTTAGCATTTTCTAAATTGCTGATTTCAAGGCAACGCAAAGCCGTCTTTAAGGCCAGGGGAAGATCGTAGCAGTTCAAGGCATTACTCAGATGCAGCTTAGAACAGGAATGGTTTAAAAATGCTTTTGTGTGTGCACGTGTGTACACAGCACACGTGGCACGCTCCTACTTCTTGAAATTCAGAGGCCAGAATCGGCCTGCAGAGCCATAAACTAAGGGGATCAAGCAATGAGACGTCTGTTCCCTGCAAAAGCCAAAAGGAAAAAGAGGGAAAGAATAAGTAGGTTTAATCTTTGCAGACATGCATTTTGCGGATGCCGTCTGCCAAGTATTTCCTATCCTTCCGATCGTTATCAGCAGCAGCCTGCACAATATTTAGTGCCCCATTTGCTTATTAGTAATAATAACGAAGCAATTATACTGATTAAAGGTAGGAGTTCAGTGCAAAGCCCAAGAACATCAGAGCTTGGGCTGGATCAAGCTGAAGGCCTGTCTCAACCAGCCCTCCGTTTATGCCATGAGCATCTTGGCAGGCCAACCCTCAACCACTTCTAGCTTAAATTCCCCAGCAACCAGTATTCTGATGCTGTAGATAATGCACCATGGCTATTAGCCATATCCAAAATCCATTTCTGTAACCCCCCTTTGAAGCCATAGATGGGGATGGTCATGGGGACATCTTTTGTCAGGGAATCCAAAGCTGCACTACATGCACGGTGTGAAGGAGCATCTTTTATCTATTCTGAATCCAGCTAACGAGCACTTCCTCTTTTGTGCTATTTCCCAAGGAGTAAGCCTTCCCCTATCCACGCCATATATAATTTTAAGCTCTCCTCCACTGCTCCAGGGTCTATCACTGTTTCCTTGGTTGATAAAAATGCATCATCCTACAGGGTTTCTAACCAGCCAGCCATCCGATTTCTAGGTCACCCAACTCCCAGATGACTTGTGGTTTCTCTCTTCTATGCTGATTTTCACAATGCACATCACATTTAATAACAGTGTATTATAAACAAGGAGGAGTCTTTAAATATTCCAGCCATGATATCTAGCATCTGCAGTACTGAGACCTGGTCTGCAACAGCTGGTCAAAGTGAAACAAATGACAAAGTGGGCCAACTTTAAAAGTGTGTATTTCAAGTACATCCAGAGAAATGGCCTGGCTATCATCCTGGCCAAAAAAAATTGGTTTCTCACTTACTACCAGGTATAATCACATCTTTAATAGAGATGTGTTGCAGAGAGATGAAATATGGTTCTCTGTTCTTTGCCTCTCATACTACAGGTATACATAGAACCAAACTAGCTTGGAAAAAAAATAAAGATTGCACCATTAGTTCATAATCCACATTACTGCCCACTTCCTCTTTTAATCAGGGCAAGGGTAAGCACCATCAGAGCTTTCAGAGCTGTTTTTAATATTCATTATAGAGTTTTAATAAATAACACCCGGGCCAAGAAAGTAAGCAGTCCCACTGAGAGCTCATCCTTACTGAATGGAATAACATGCAGTGTCCTATTCTGGACTGGACATCTTCAGGGCCAGCATTACACGAGTCTTCTCGCAAGAGTTTCCATATCCGGCACTGACAGTCAAAAGCAAAGAGGCCACTGAACTGTGGCTCACTGGCTCGGCTATCGTCCACACTGCCATTGCATGTCAAAATCCTTCCCCCAAAGGTATAGATCATGTGTTTCTCTGAATCCATGCACATCTGCAACAAATGAGAGGCATTTTCATTAAAAGTCACACATGCAGTATGGCTTGATGTCATGAAAAAAGACTTTTAAAAACATTACAGGTAGTCCTTGACTTATGAGTATTTGTTTAGCAACCAGTCGAAGTTATGACAACACTGAAAAAAGTGTCTTACAACTGGTCCTTGCACTTACGACTGTCACAGCATCCCCACAGTCACATGATCATGATTCGGGCACTTGGCAACCATCGCACATTTACGACAGCAGCATCCTGCGGTCATGTAATTGCCATTTGCAACCTTCCCAGCTGGCTTCTGACAAGCAAAGTCAATGGGGAAACCAGCAGGGAAGGTCGCAAATCGCAGTCATGTGATGTCTTGCTTAACAGCCATGGCAAAAAAGGTTGTAAAATCGGGTGCAGTCACATGATGCCTCACTTAATGACTGCACCGCTTAACGATGAATTTCATTGTGGTCGTAAGTCAAGGTCTACCTGTATGCTTTAAAATACAAACTTGTTCCATGAACTAGTCTCTGAAACCCTGAAGCTAATCAAATAATAGTACATGTAGGTCACAAGGTCCTTTACTTAGGCAGTACAATACACTGGGTAGTGTGGGAGACCTTGAAAATAACAGAATACAAAATTCAATTAGAATGTCACAAGCTATTAATGTTTACTTACAAAGATGCACTCTGCTGGATAGAAGATCTTAGCCACCATTCCATTCCCAGGACCCAAATGAACGCACAAGCCCTTTGAGTTTATTTAATGCAGTCCATGTTGGCATAATGCTCCACCTGTTCCTTCCCCAAAAGTTGATTCTCTTGAACCCTGCTGCTAGGAAAAGAATATTCAGGCCCTGGGACTCTGACACCAGAAATGGAGCAAGGTGGAAACACTGTCACCTTCCTTTGTTTTTGTGGGGGCACAAAGCAAGGAGTTCTTATGGAAGAGGGAAGAGCAAGAAAAGAAAAAGGTGCTGGAGCATTTAGGTATGGAAGGATCACCATGAACCTGAGAGTATACTCCAAGCAAGGAACCAGGATAGGGCAGCAAGGGGCTGGAGAAGAGAAGGGACTGCCATAAAAGGTAGCCCTTGTGTGGGATGAAGATGAAGGGCAGATCCAAAAGTAATGGTTGGGATGTCCTTCTGTCTTCCCAGCGTCCTTGATATTCAAGTCCCCTTTTTAGCCCCACAGACTGTGCCACAGCAATTCCACAGACCATATTTCATCAGATTAGCAGCTCTCACTTTTTTCCTCCACTCAGTTTCTGACCAAATCCCATTTAATAGATCTCTTACTTTCCTTATTCTTTCAAGAATGTCTTTTTATTCTTTATCTCATTCTTTCAAAAATGTCCTATCCTATAGACATTTTACTTCTCTTACTCTCCTTTCCCATCTCTGTTTTTCTACATAAACACACACATACACTAGCTTCTTTTCTCTCAGCATTTTACATTTTCCTCTCTTCAACCCACTCTTTCTTGTCAAGCTTTTTATATATACACTTTTCCACGTTCTCTCCCAGCAACGTCAACCAGACTTAAATCTCACTCAGCCAAAAAAATTGATCTGGGGAGATCTCTGGGTAGGATATTAAAGAAAGCTCAGAAGGGAAAAAGAGAAGTGGGTGGAAGACAAAATTACTATCCTCATTCACTGTGTTTCTGGATGGATCATGATCACAGTTCTTTAAAAAAAAACAAGAAAAACCTGCCCACTCTTACTGTGATAAAACCTTAACTATATCAACTCAAAATATAAATGCAATTTTTCCACTGATTCCACCCTCCAGTTCTTTCACTTTCCTGTTGTGTCTTCTCCTTCTGGTTCTAAACTGTAGATCAAGGATCTTTTCTTCTTCATTCTTCACAAAGCATCATAATCCTTGATGTTGTAAAGCCATAATTACAAATACAAATACGATTAATGAAACTTTCAAATGCTCTTAATCCTAGGGCACAAATCACACTGACCTGATGGTCGAACACAAGTTTGGGACCTCCATCAGCGGCCGTATCCTCACTCAGTAGCATCCAGGTATTTGTGTCGATGTCATAGCGATAGAAGTCGCTTTTCAGAGATTTGCTGTTCCTCACAGAGGAATCCAGGTAACGACCCAAGGTGTAGATCTGTCTTCGCTGGATGTCAATGCACATCTTGTGACAGGACCGAGCACTCGGACCATTCTGGAGAGCAGAAAGAATGGAAAACGTGTTATGCCTGTTGACAGGGAGACAAGCAAATACATCTGGGGTGGCCCACAGAGTCCAGAGCAGACTTCTTCAACAATAATACTGGAGATTGCAACTCTAAGAATTTCCAGCAGCCAAAGGCGAATAAGTCTAGGACTACACAGACCTTGGGATTCAGCTCTCTTCCATCGGTGAAACTCTCACAGAGAACTTTGGGTTCTTGGAGGGGCATATGTGTGATAGCACACAGAAAAGCATTAATTCCCTCTGGCACTTTTTTTTAGGGAAGCTGCTCAATCACTCCTACCCAAGAAACATCTTCAGATCTTTAGCCAACTGAAACTCCCTTTGGGAAAACCGGCAGAAAATCACTATACTGTTTAATGTAAAGGCAACTATTTTATTAGCCTACTGCTCTTCCCTGGTTCTTTGTGCAAGGCAGGAGATTGGAAACTCACTATACGGTGTTAAAATTTACAGGAACAAAATTTGAGGTGCAGAGGCTTTGGCAGAACAGAAACTCTGAATTACTAAAACCTGATTCAAAACACTGGAAGATTCACCAAGCAGAAAGACAAGTCCTTAAGATGAGGCACTCCTTAATCATGCTTATGTATAAATCCTAATATCCGTATCAAATTTTCCAAGGCACATGCTTGCAATTCACTTCAACGACCGACTCAAATGGAACGGCTCATTTCCTATAACTTTGGAAAACACCCTGGCAACAGCAGGCCCATTGTATCAACCAACTTCAAGACTGTGTGAGCAACAACCCAAATTCGACATTATGGAGAACACAGCAGGACCAATGAAATATTAAAAAAAGAGCTGACAAGAACAAAGGGGGCTTAGGGTGGACAATACCACAAGAGATGTATTCTTGGTCTGGAGTGACAAATGAAGGGGAAAGCAAACTGAAACTCTTGTAGAAAATCATACAGCCAGATGGGACTTCGGGAGGATCAAGCCCAATTTCCTTAACAACAAAAGAAATTTGCTGCCATGGGTAAGGGGCCATTCAGTGCTGTTTCAAAATTCTAATCAAAGGGAACTCACCCATTCTGAGATGTTGCACATAATTAAAAGTCTTACTTTCTAGATCAGCAGGCACAAAATTTTGAATGCAGAATCAATACAGTGCATTGTTTCCCTCTGCAAAATCTGTAGGGAGGGCTGATGATCTAGATGTTCCAAAAAGAAGTCACTCTTGTGTAATGTGACTGGACATCCTTGACTGAAGTCAGTAAGGCAATGTCTTGACTCTCATGCTAAACCATACCTTGGTTAAATGTAGTTTGCTATGTAAGTTACTACTGGCTGGGGTCACACTATACACTATGCCATAATCCATGGTTCAAACCATAATGGCTAGGTTAATATTCACTTAACATGCTAAGGCAACATTGAACAGATAAAGTTACAACTTAAGACCAAGCCTACAATACTCCCTGTTATACAACAGGCAGTGAACCTTACGGGCCTACAACTGCACACAGCATCACAACCAGCCTCAACTTCTAAGAAGCCGAAAAGTATCCATTACGAATGGTGACATGAACTATTGCTTGTGTAGTCATTCAAAATCTATAGCCAGGAACTAAGTAAAAAGCTGCAAAGAACATTCATTTAAGTGACTAAGGAATATCTGCCAGAAACAGACCTCACATTACTTTAACGGAACAGCTTCCCGTAGCTTTCTCTTAAAAACTGGATCTTCCACATTCTCTTGAGCATTGCCCTAGTACAGATGTTGATTCCATTTGATCAAAACAACCATTATTTCCACACAGATGCTCAGAATGCTTTGTTAGCTATGGAGCCACAATACTGCAATTTTTTTTCTTGCTTTAAAATATTTATTGCCTGGGTTGTTGTTTTTTTACCATCAGATGTTTTGCAGTTAAAATCAAGTATTATAAAAATTAATGAACTTTTAAATAGATATCCTAATAGCACACAAAACCTGGAGATCATCTCAGAACTGGCTTTTGTAGGTCATGAATGACAATCCAAACTCACTTGATCAAATGCACTCCCGGTGTACTGGCATTCAGTGCACAAAAATGTTCACATCAAAGACAGAACTAAGCTAGAAGCATTATTCCTGATCATTTTTTTTTTTATGTGCAAAGATTTATTTTTGGAAGCATCTGATCAGGTGAACTCCACTGGAGTGCCAACTGGTTCTATTCAGACAGAACTTGATCGCTCTACCTGATGATCTGTCAAGTGAGAAGACATCAGACCCCATCAGAAGCACACTGAATGGAACTTCATTCATCTTCCAAAAAAATCCTGAAAAAACAAGTTTGAATGAACTTCCTCCCTGAACAGATCAGTCCATGGGGAACTTACTCTTTCTTCCACAGGAGCTGAATTAGTGCAATGCACAGGTTACTTACTAGAATAGGCTTTCCACAAGGTTCATACTAACAGCCAAGTCCGCCATCTCCATGAAAGTACTCAGGGTCAATGAAGGAACTGCTGACCTTTCCTTGCAGCTTCCACATGATGGTTTATTCCCACAAATGTTTCCACAAGCATTTCTTCCTGGGAATCATTCCAAAGCCCTCCTAGGGGAGTGTTCTGGCAGAACTAGCCCAAGAAACATCTATTCATAACTTTTTTAATACACTGCTGTTAAGACTGAACTGTAAAATACACAAGGCGGAGCAAAATCGTTTTTAGAACTCCAAAACAAAACAGAAAACCAAAACAGCAGCTTTGAAGGAGCAGACAGCCACTATTTTATACCACATGCTGGAGGAGAAAACAAGGAAAAGAAGAAATTAATGTCTTCTCCTCAATGCCAGACTAACTGAAAAATGTGCTGTGTCTAATTTACTGATTTTATGGCAGACGGATTGTGGGCTACATCATGCAAAGACTGTTTTCCTTAAAAACTGCTAAGCAGCATACTGCAAGAGATGTGTCTTAAAATGATATTTAAACTCTGAGGTAAGACCCACAGCAAGGCTCTGGTGTCCTTGACTAATTCAGTAAACAGGAAAGTTTAAACAACACAGGTCCAGATTGCACTGAAACTACACACCAATTTAACAGGAAGTTACATGCACACACACAAATTGGAGTGGGTCAATTAATATAAGTAACGTAGATAACTCAGTATCATAAGGGAAAGGGTAGTACTGATTCAAAAGATGGAATGTGCCACTGCATTACCTTCTCAAAAAACATTTTAGAGAATAGACTATACACACACAGTTTTGTAAACACAGATTTTTTTTCCCATCTTACATATAATCAGCAATATATTATGCAGGCCACTTCCTTCTGAGTAACAGAGCTCATCAAAGCATCTAGAGAAAGATGATATGGTCAAGGTATTTCAGACCTGGTTCATATGTAACCTACTGGGGCTTTGGCTGGAAGGAACCTGAAGGGGCAGGTCCATGATTTGGAAGCCCTCCTGGACTCACAGTTACTCCTAGATTTGGAGGTGGAGGTGGAGGTGGAGGCGGTGGCCAGGGAGGACTTCACCTAGCTTCATCTGGTTTATCAGTTGTAGCCTTACCTGCAGCAGGAGGCCCTGGCAACAGTCATTCATGCCCATCTTAATGATAATCTACTGCAGTGTTTCTTTATGTGAGGTTGCCTTTGAAGACTACTCCGGTTGTGGCAAAATGCAGCAGCCCACATGCTGGCAGGTGAGAGCTGCTATTACCATATAGCACCTGTCCTATAGGACCTGCAATGGCTTTCACAGGTACAATTAAAAGAGCTGGGTTTGATCTTCAAAGTCCTCCCTGGCTTGGCTCCTATGTGGAACCAGCCCATCTTGCACACTCAGCCCATTTGGGAATGCTTTATGTTCCCCATGTACACAAGGTAAGAGAGATGGAGCTCAGAGAGGGTGTTTGGCCATGGTGGTCACCACCCTGTGGAACAACAGTCACAGAGGTTCATCTGGGAACTAAGCCCTTAAGATGGAACATTTCCAGAGGGCCTCTAAAGTGTAGTTTCACTGTTACTATTTTGGGCCAGTGTCTGAGTCTCTTTTTTAAAATGTTATTGATTTTCATTTGATTACTGCCGTGGTTTTATCATTGCCTCATTCTGATGTTGTATTGCACTGCATTTTTCGTTTTATACTTTTTATCTTACTGTAAGCCACAAAGATTTTTTTTAAATTAGGATTAGAGCAGTGTACAAATGCAATCAATCCTACTTCGAGGTAGTTGCAGGACAATGAAGTACAGCCTCTACAAGACGCGTCATTCAGAAATAAGCTCCAAACATTTCTAGTTTCTAATAAAAGAATTATTAGGCTACCAAAAGAGGGGAAAAAGGAGAGTAGAGAGGACACTGCTGGGTTTCTATGACCAGAGGAAGGTCAGCAGAGGACTTTTGCCTCTTAAATGTCTACATGCAGATCTTGATTGCTTATGGCCACAAGCCTGGCTTAAAGATGAGAATGGTTTACCATCGCAGAAAAGCCCCAGAGGATTTTAGTGTGGTTATAAAGACTCATAAATCCAAACACTGCCTCTGAGTTATCTCAAGAAAAGATCAAAGCACGTGGCTGCAGTTGGAAGAGTTCATTCCTATTTCAGACCCAGGAATAATAAAAAGGGGAGAGACCAAGAGGAGGAGGAGAACTTGCAGTATAGATAACATGAAAGATCCTCACACATTCACCTGCCTTCTGTCCTCCTGCTCTCCTTTTATCCTCCAAGCTCAAGTGTCTCCCAATAAGATAGGAGAGTGAGATGAAGGGATGCAGTCACCCCATGGAAAGGCATCTTGATTTCAGATCAACTAAAACAATCAGGGTAGTGGTAGAAGAGAGGTCAATTCCATAGCCCCTGTTTGGTAGGGTCTCATGGAGTCAGTCTTCTTTAACATCTACAGTATTGTATTGCAGAACAGTCTTTGCCATCCTGCAACCTTCCCAACATGCTGGACTGAAGCTCCCATAATCCTCAGCCATCACAGTCATTGTCCATGCCAACCAGGAAGGACGGAATTGC